TACATATATATTCACCGTCACATTTTTTTCACAAAGAAAAATACCATATGAGATCATTCATATGTGGAGTCTAACAAAAAAAAAGAACATAAATACTAAACAGAGAAACTTCTTTATCACTCACAAGAGCATCCACTCTGGATAGTATAAGCCAAAAAGGAATTTGTGGAAGGTCTTTGGATAACTCACAGAATCCTGTGCCGAACGAAAATAATGTCTCAAATCAAGACTTGTAGGAGGGCGAGGGTGTAGCTCAGTGGCGGAGCACATGCCTAGCATGCCTGAGGTCCTGGGTTCAGTCCCCAGCACCTCCATTAAAAAAAAATCAAATAAATAAATAAATAAACCTAATTACCTCCCCCCCTGCCAAAAATAAATAAATAAATAAATAAGGAATCAAATCAGACTGTAGGACAAACTCTGAACTCAGTTTGCTAACAAGATCAGGTTCTGTCCTTCCCCACCAGGCACTGCAACGGCAGAAAACAAATCCAATTTCAGAGATTGAGAAACCGTGGATCTGAGGATAGTGGGGGAGCGCATGAATATATAATGTCTTCTAGAGAGTTAGAGGAAAAAAAAACAGCACTTTTCATTATAGAGCCACAAGCAGGGCACAGATACCCTCTTTGCTGAAATCAAAATGACTAGACCCCCAGTTATCTTCAAGAACACAGATGTGTAAAAAAAAAAAAAAAAAACAAACAACAGGACCCCTAAGGAGCAACTGCAGAAGCGCCTCAGGAACGTGTCTGTCAGAAGCTCCCCAGAGCTTATTCCAGCAAAACTGAGTTGGAGTCCAGAGGACGCTGCCAGGGTCCCGGCCAAGTCCCTTTGCCAGCTGGCGCCCCCTTCCCCGGCTGCCAGGAGAGCCAGCTAGTAACACCTAGCCAGCCCCTTCTCAGGAGAAGGCTCTCCGCTAGACTGAGCCACCTCAGAAGGAGGCCAGGTGACGCCCCTCGGTGCTCCAGCTGTGACCCCAGGAGGAGAGAGCGTCTCTCTAATCTGAGGGGGACCTCCTGCTTCCACCCTGGGGAATGGGGAGCACTCCCTTCTGCTCCATCGGGAGTGATGGGTGAACTGCATGGTTCCGGGGTTCGCTTGCTGGGCACATAGTTGGCCACAAACATGTTTCCTGGGCCGTCTCCTTGGCTGCCGCTTTTCTGCAGGCTCCTGTTTGGACGTGTCAGGCCAGTTTGGGGGCAGGTTGCAAGGGAGCTCTCAGCCCAGAGGACCAGCTTCCCAGAGGATTACAGGGCGGAGGGATCCTCTGAGTCCCTTCTAAAGGGTTTCGGCAGGAAGGGACTCAGTGACTCAGCGCTGGAAGAAAGTCCAGGGATGGGACTTAAACAAAGCAAAGCAGAAAAGGAAGGAGTTTAGAAGAACCATCCCTCGGGTGACAGCAGGCCCACTCAGAGTGTCCCCACAAGGAGATGCCCACCTGTGTGCTCAGGTCTGATCAGAGGATTTCAGAGTCACATCCACTGACAAACTGAATCGGTACTGCTTTGGTCACCACTAAAAATCCAGAGACACTTAGATTCCAATGTATAAATCTTTATTATTCTGGAAGCACAGCACAGGCACCTCAGCTTCTCCTCTAACCAGTTGCTGTTGCCGTTGGGTCAGGATTAGAGCTGTTCCAGGCTTGGGTCGTGGAAGGAAAAACTGCTAATGGGATCAAGGACCAGAGAAGCCCGAGCCTCTTAGGATGCGGTGTCCTTGGGTCAGGACGTTGATTTGCAGCTTTCTGTCAGTAGGATGGTGAGAAATTTTTTCTCCTACCTCTGGCCTGATATTTTAAATGAAGCCAGTTAACAAATGTTAGTGATGGCCCAGTTCGCCTGGATACACGTGTTCCTTTCTCAGCTGCCCACAGGTATGTGCTGTGAAACAAATAGGCTTCCTTCTCTGGTTGCCTGAAAGAGAAATATCTCAGCTGAGAAACTTACTTTAAAAAAAATTTTTTTAGCATTTTATTTTGGGAGGGGGAGAGGGTAAGTATTTAGATTTATTTATTAATTTTTTTTTTAATGGAGGTACTGGGGATTGAACTCAGGACCCCACACATGCTAAGCATGTGCTCTACCACTGAGCTGTACCCTCCCCTGAGAAATTTATTAAAATTCCATGTTCCCTGGTCCTTTCTCTGCAGATCCAGATCAGTAGATGAGGGTGGGGCTGAGTTTCTCTGTAATTTGTGCCTAGGGGACTCTGAGACCCAGGCTGAGGAAGCTTCTGTGCGGGAAGGAAGAAATGATCCCCAGCGCGTGCAGACCCTTCAGGATGAGGCATTTGTCCGCCCAGATTTATGCCAAGATATTGGCCATGTGCTCACACCTGAAACTGACTTGGGAGTTCGGTGGAGGTAGGAGCCCCAGGCTGATCCTTCCCCCTGGGTCAGAGGGACTGGCAGGAAAACACTGGAAGCTGGGAGATAGAAGACTGAAAGGTGTCTGGCTCCCCCCACCCCCACCCCCATCCACAGCCAAGGTTGAGCAAGCAGGATCCAGTGGCCCTGCCTTCTGGGCCTTTGCACTTGTCCTTCTGAGCCTTCAGGGGTCGTTGCCCACCAGGTTCAGCAGGGCGTTCTTGTAGTCGCCACTGGTGTCTTCCTGGGGACAGGAGGGACACGAGAGTTAGAAGGCGGCGGTTGTGGCACTGGCCCGGCTTGGAGTCCTCTCCATCAGGAGCAGCTGCTCTTATTCCTAGGGGTCATGCTTCTTGCAGGAAGGCCTGGCACATTCCTGGGCAAGTTCCTACGCCACAGGCCCCACACGGGGTCACCCATCTTTCCTTGTTTGCCATTTCAGGCAGTTCGTTTGTGTCTCCTTTTGATTCTCTTACGAACTGCAGGGGGGCTCACTGTGGCCAATGAGTCATAGAAACAGTTCTTCTCTTGAGCGAGATGGGCATTTTGGTGCCTCCTTATCCCATTCGCTGCCCCAGGGGGCATCCCCATGTTTCATTCAAGACCCAGGGGTGCCCAACCATTCACTTATTCAACATGATCCATCATTCATTATTGCAGATCTGGGAACCAAGGCTGAAATCAGGGTGCCCAGTGCCCCACTTGGAGGCAGAGGGTGCAGTAGAGAGAACCTGGGCTTTGAGCCCATGGAGAATCTGGACCACAGCTCCATCACTCACAGACCCCGTGGCTGAGTCAAGTCTCATCGTCACTCTGAGACTCAAGCTCATTTATGAAATGACATTGATGATGATATGAACCTTGCTGAGATGTGGTGTGAGGTAAATAGCAGGAAAAACATGAGCTTGACGGCATAGCAGCTGCTCACATGGGGTCAAGTGACGTTGGTCACCCAGTAGGGTAGACCCCACAGGTCGAGTGGCTGAACCCCCTTTCTGTGGTCTACCAGCCCCCCCCCCCAGCTATTAGGCAGGTCCTGACAGGACTGGCCAGCCAAGGATCTACACACAGAGCCGGGGGAACAGGAAAGCTCCCTTTTTATGTGGTTGAGGAAAATGGGACCAAGAGAGGGTACTGGATTTCTTCAAGGCCACTCAGTGAGTAAGTGCGAGGGCTGGGGACTAGTTCTGCTTTTTTATGCTCTACAGCAGTTTATGTCTCATGGAAATTATCTAATTCCTTAACTGTTTTGTCTGTCAAGTTTGCTTGTAAAATCATTGGTGCCTGAAATTTTCTTGGAGATTTTAAATATGTTTTTTCTTTTTTTCACTACTTCCCAAAAGATTTTTGTAATATAGTCTTTTTAAAAGCCATTCATTTTGTCTACCTTCCCAAATATATGAGTATAAAGTTATAATGGGATTTTTATACATTTTTCTATTAATTTCTATGCCAGAGTTTTTAATGCTAGTATCACTGTTGGAAATCATTTTTGCTCTGATGACGTCTACAGGGAGTGGTCTGTGCCAAAAAGAAAATATTTGGTCAACTTATTCACAGTTCCTAGGAAATTTTCTCTTTAGGTAAACTTTAGGTAAAATCTAAGAGGGTGGGCTTCATGTAGGTTTAGATAAGGGGCTAAATTAGTGATTATGCACTAATTAGATTAGTAAGTCGCCATAATGAGGTCTACATGTTAGTTGGGTCAAAAGTAATCATTTTCACCCAGCAGTGCTTTTGTCCTCCTGGAGTCTGACCGTGGCTCTGTCTAACTGGATTGATGAGAAGGAATAGAAATCTTTCTGATGCCTCAGAGACCATGTGTGGTTGTAGGAATTCATGATACAGGCTGGGACTGTGTTGGGAAAGCCAGCGCTCTGAGTAACACAGCTGCAGCCTGCGCTGATTTTCACCCAGCCCTCCTAAAACAAAACCAAGAATAATTTCCACCCCTCCCACCCCCACCTGCCTACTGGGCCACTCTGAAACGTCTTAAAGCAGAAATGTCTTTTTAACATTCTGTAAGCTACGTGTTTCTTGGGAAGCGTAGTGAACAATAGATGTTTCAGAATGACTGGAGACCTGACTTAATAGCCAGTGAAGACTTGAGGATATATTTGTCATGATTTGACTTCTGGTAATGAAGCTGTCAAGGTCTCAATTGGCGTTAATGGCCGGAAGAGCTATTTCTGTGAAGTGATAATCACTCTGCGTTCTCTCGGCTCCAGAACTTTCACTAATTGGAATCCAGTTAGGCAACCCACTGGAGCCCATCTGATTTATCTCTGTAAAACTTTGCTGCCAGAACTACTTCAATCTGGATGGGACTGCCACACCTCAATTCCTGCTAAACTATTTACTCTCACTGACTCTTCAGATACGGTTCTTTCTGCAAGGATGCAGTGTGTCATTTTCAGAGGGGCACCCATAACTCAAAGGCAAAGCTAACTTTCTGTGTGAAATGTCCAGGGGCCTCCATCCCCCTCCAGGCTCTAACCTCACCCACCTCCTTGCTGACCCCTGCACATACCACATGGCAATGCAAGGATCTGATGCCCACTGGGAAGGGACGGACATCTGTGACTTAGGACATTAGCTGCGGGATTCAGGTTTCCCAGTAAGGTCCGTTTCAAACTGGTGTTAGAACTGGGAGAACTGGGAACTCGTGGCTTGCCATGATCATGCTGCTGAGGGTCTTGCCGCACATCTTCTTGAACTGACACTTGGTAAGATTTAAGTCAATCTCACTCCTTGAAACGATGTGTCTTATCAGGGTCCCATCCCGAGTCCCTGCTCCCTGGACAAGACACAGCAATCACCCGTCACTTCTGCTTTTTTTTTTTTTTTTGGTGGGGGCGTAATTAGGCTTATTTATTTATGTATTTGTTTTTTAAACGGAGGGACTGGGGACTGAACCCAGAACCTCGTGCGTGCTGAGCATGCCCTCTACCACCGAGCTGTGCCCTCCCCCCAGCCATCACCTTGTGCCTTTGTCCATCTCTGTGATGATGGACAGATCTATGTTGTGTCCCGGGGGCTTCCACAGGGGGTGGAGACACAGGAATGAGCCCCTGCTTTAGCAGTGACGCACTGAGAGGGATGCGCTAAGGGATCCCTTGATCTCCTCTCACTCATTGCCCATGTCTCTCCCTTATTAGAAGCCAAATGCCCCCAAATTGCAGTGTGTGATTGGCCACATCAGATTCTAGACACAAAATGCTCACTGCTCCGGGAATGAGACTGCTTCCGAGGGCAGCAACATCATGAAATCAGTTTAACTGGCCAACCCACATGCAGGACCTTCCCGCTCACTTTTATCCTTGGATAGTCTCATGTCAGAGGGAGCCACGTGGCCAAGGGAATCCCACGCCTTCTGTCATTCCCTGGCCAGATGTAGCCAAAGACCTTGGGGTTCCGACTTTAGGTAATGTTAGCAACCATCAATCACAGAAGGTGGGTACCAAGGAATTCATCTGACTGTCTATTTTCCACTGTGGTTCTAGTGGAACCAGACCCTCCACGAGTGTTTTGAACATCTGTGTGAGCAGCTGGTGCAGGCTTTCAGGCAGGCAACCCCAAACCGGCACCTGGACACACGCAGGAAAGTTGAGTTGCCACGTGTGGCCATCCCCCCTCCGAATGTGTCCGTTCAAAGCGTGCCTTAACCTCCTGGCAATCCTGACCTGTGCTTCCTCAAGGAGGCCACATGGACAGTTACATACAAATAAAGTTTTACATAAAAAGGACAATTGCACTGGCTTGGGCTCAAATCAAGGCTCTATTATTTCCCAGTTGCGTGACCTTGGACCGCAAGCCTTGGTTTCACGGTCTCTAGGAGGGCAGATATGACATGGGTCTCACAGGGTTGTGGTGAAAGTTCATTGCGATGAACACCTGGCAATACACCTGCTCACATCCAGCCTTCGGGAGGTGCGGCTTCCCCTTCCCCGCTTCAGTGTGCCCTCTGACCCACAACAGGTTGGGATAAGAGGAGACCCAAGTGTTGAAGACTTGGGTGGTGGCTCTGAGCATCCTGGCTTTGCCATCGGTGCCGCGTAGGGTAACGGGTAAGGCGCACAACAGACAGATCAGTCACCTTCAGGGCATAGTAAAGTCGTAGTAAAGTAACTGTGGAGGTTCCGGGTGCATTTAACTGGCAAACAGGAAAGTTGTGTTATAACCAGAGGTTGTAGGCGGCATTGTGTATGTGTTTGTTTATTTAAGTCTTGCCTCGAATCTTAAGGGTTAGCATTGTGCACGTCTTAGCCTACTTATTTGTGCCCTGCCTCATCTTAAAATAGGCTTTGTGTCAGGAGGGGTGGGGCAGGGAAGGAGGCCTTGGGTACCGGATCCGGGTGCAGAGCCCAGAGCAGGCAGACAGAAGGGCGAGGATGGAACACACTGGGGCGCACGGGGCTGCGCTGGCCCACAGAGCACCGCTCCACCCAGGGGAGCTCCTGGGCTTGTACATGCCAGAGCCGGCTTCCCCGGGAGTCCAGCCACTCAGCTCCGTGAAGGAGCCACTGTTATGATGACCTCTGGCCTCTAAGTGCCCGCTTTACATGTCACTTAGCAGAGGGCCCCTGCAGCTTGAGTTCCCCTGTGGCGGGTGGGGCTGGGCCCCAGAGCGCGCAGGTGCCCGGACGTCTGCTCTCAGGCTCGCTTCATGCACGGTGTTTCTAAGACACGGGGTCTGGGTGGGGAGGTTGGCATTTTAACCCAGGCGGCAGAAAGAGTGAGGGCTAGGAGGGAGGTGGGCATGAGTTCAAACCCCACCTGATGGCACCGTGTGCCCTCGTGACTTGACTTCCCTGCCCTGCTCTGTCCTCGCCTGTGGAATGAGTGACTGGAGTCTTTGAGGAGAAGCAGATGGGAGGCGCCCAGCACCCGAGGGCACCGCGTGGCTTCACTTTTCCCTGCCCGAAGATTTGTTTAAATTGGATCCAGGGGCTGCCTTTGGAAGCTGGGACTGGAGTGGGGGGCACGCTTAGATGCTCACACAGACTGGATTTATCAAGGCAGTCAAAGGCGGCTGGGGAGTGTCAGCTGTCCCAGTTCACCCTGGAGACTGGGACACGTGGTGCAGCTCTCCTGGCTTCCTGGCTGCTCGGCACCAAATGGGGGACCTCCTGGTGTAGAGGTGACCTTGGCTCCATCTTGGGATGGAGGAGGGAAGTCCCCTGCCCTGGGGCTCGGTTCTTCACTCTGCACTGACTCCTCTCCCTGTCCCCTCAGAGTTCCAGTGTCCTGGGTGAAGGGGCCATGCTGAGAGGGGGGCTGGAGTGGAGGCTCACCTTGAAGGTGAACATGGGACCCAGTCTCTTGCTGCTGCACCCTGGGCCCTTTGCCTTTGGTGCTGTCCCAGCACGGAGCCCCAGGGCCGGCGGACGCACGTGAGTCTGAGCACGGGGCTCCGTCTCTCACCCACTGTGAGCATGGTCTCCTCCAGCGAGCCGTGGGCCTCACCCCTGTTGCTGTGCTCAATGCTCTTGTTGGCAACTTTCCGATACTCCTCAAACACTGTGGAGAGAGGCCTTCCCTTAGGGGACATGCGCATCTCAGCAGGACCTGCACCCCCAGCATCTCAGATCAGAGACTGCACACCAGTGCACCACCCCTGACCTCCACTGGGTTGTCGGGGAAAGGATGCAGGGCTCCCTGGCTCTCTCCCCAACTCCGTGACTTGACAAGGCCACACACTGGATATTCAGCGTGAAGGGAGAGGCCCTGTGGCCAGAGTGCCTCCACCCCGCCCCCACTGCCCCCACCGGGTCCCACCTGACATTGCCTCCCTGCCTCCCTTTCCCGGTACCTCTCATCAGGTGCGTGGCACTGTGTGTGCACAGGATGGTGATGAATTTCATCTCATCAGTCCCGCAAATCTTCTCGCCCACTGCATACAGATCCTGGCATTGGGACACCCACAACAAGCCAGTGAAGGTGAGCAAGCGGGTGAAGGATGGTCCCTCGTCCACCCTCCCAGGTCAGCATGCTCCTCTGACTGATCATCTTTTTGATGGGAGCCCGCTATCCCTGAATGGTTAAGTTCTCTTCCTGATACTGGGCTCTGCCTCTGGGCACCTCCAAGCTCTCTGCCAGCAGGCAGACCTATGGAAGGCTGACTGCTCGCATCTGAGCCTCAGAGACCCAGGGTCCCTGGGTTTGTAGGCGGTTCCTGCCGAGCAGAGCTTCAGCGGACCCCACCCAAATCAGTCTCCTTCCTCTCCTACACCCTCACTTTCCTCTGTAGACACCAAAAGGTCAAAGCCTGCAGAGAGCTGAGCTGGGATCCAGCCTAGCATCAGAGAAAACCCCCACAGGCAGAGGGGCTGGGTGAGGCCCCGGCCCCCTTGAATCTACACGGCAGAGGGTGGGGCCAGGTGGCCAGCAGGGTGGAAGCTGCTGAGGGAGGCCCCCACCTGTGCATCTTGGAGGGCCAGTCCTGGGTCCACGAAGCCGCTCAAGTCATCCTTGCTGCCCTGAGAACAGAAAAGGCGGCTTTGTAAGGCAGGAGCCTGAGCAGAGCCACTGGGGCAGAGGGCAGAGGGCAGAGCCGGGCCAGAGGGCAGACAGTTATCCTCTCCAAGCCTCGGCTCTCTCTCATCCGAAAAATGAGAGCAGTTAGGGATGCCTCGTAGGGAGCTGGGGGGTTCAGTGAACTAAGGTAAGCAAAGTGTCTGGCCTGGGGCCTGATGGAAAGGACCTGCTCAGTGACGGGCCTTCTCCTCCCACTTCCCCTGTGCCCTCGTGTGGCTGAGTCAGGAGAGGTGCGGGGGCCCTGCAGTGTGGACCCTATAGCCACACCAGGAGGTATCAATGTGCACCGATGTCTGGCCACCACGCTTTGCATGCATTTATCACGTGTTTACCCAGCACGCCGAAGCCTGGCCCTGTCCTGTGGGTAGTGGGAGGTGGGAGGAGGGACAAAGGGTCCAGGCTGTGTGCTGCCTGCCCTTGGGGTTCCCGCAGGGCAGGAAGGAGGAGGCGCCGGTACGGCAGCTCCAAGGCAGGGAGACAGCCCCGTGGCACAGCACACAGCGGAGCCCGGCCTGCGTCTCCGGCATGTGGGAGAGAAGAGGGCATTCCAGGCTCGGGGAACAGGACCAGCAAAGTATAGAGACAGGGAAACAGCTCGGGGTTGGGGCCATGGAGCAAATACAACGGAGCAAGTGAAAGAGAAGGTGGGAAAGGAAGACCGGGCCAGATGACAGAAGGCGGGACCAAGCGGGCCGTGGGGGGCCATCAGAAAGTGTTCCAGGTAAAACACAGGACGGCGAGTGAAATCTGATTTTCAGAGAAACAGTGCATCATTTTTTTAGTGTATGTCCCATTTACCCCATGTTGCCAGCGGGCTGGGCTCTGGACAAGGGCCTGGTCCAGAGTGGGGCTGCGTCCCAGGCTGTTTCTGGCAGCGGCAGTCCCCACGGCCCCCAGCACACGGGGCCCCCGTTTACCTTGCCAAACTGAGCCTTGAAGGGCTTGGCGATCTCCTGCCGCTAAGCATTGCTTCTCTTCGTGAGCACGTCGATGACGGCCTGCTCATTGGTGACTGCAGGGTGCACAGCGTGAGCACCCCCACTGCCCCAGGGGTGGGGGGCTGATGAGGGCTGGGGAGGAGGGAGGGCAGCCGCTTGATGGCCAGGCAGTGGGGGTACATCATCTGAAGATCTCCGAAACCTGTGGTTTTCACAGCGTAGACAAGACAGTCAGAAAATCCCTCTGTCCACCCTGCCACCCACACGATGTTGGGGCGTGGCCCAGGCCCAGCCTCACAGCAATGGACTCTGAGGACCCTCTGGTCATCTGATATGCCCTGAACATCACCCAGCACCTTTGGAGCTCAGGCGGGACCTCCTGCCCTGACCTGCCTTGTGCTGGTGGTGTGGGGGAAGAGGGTCCAGAAAACTGGCTCTGAGCCCTGGCCCAGCAGCTGGGTGGGCTAGAAGCCTCATCTCCCCCAGCCTCCACTTTTTCCTTTGGAACGTGGAGACGAGTATAAGATTTCACAGGAAGTAGAGGGCTGAATATGCTTTCTAAGTTCATCTGGGAATGGCAGTTTTTGTTAATGCCCTAATGTACCAGTTGGAGCCAGTTAGAGGGTAAATCCTGCCTGGGGTGGTAAATCTGACATGAGAGCTGTCTGGGCCGGGCTACCCACATCCCCTAATCCCAAAGGCTTCTGGCCCGCCCTTTCAGATGCTGGAGACAGGATGGAGCCGGCCCTGCGGCCCACCTAAGTTGGTGGGGGGGAGCTGCAACCCCTGCATGGCTAGAGCCCCCGGGCCCAGGTCAGCCCCGCAAAACCCCCAACATCATCCCATCCAAAATTCACCGTGACACGCAGGGTCCAGAGTTCTTGGGGCCATTTTACAGGTGAGAAAGCTGTGACTGAGTGCGGTGAAGTCCTTCGCACAAGGACACCCAGGAACACACAGCGGATGTCCCCCCTCCCCCACCCCCGTTACTCACAACCGCCTTCCCCGTGTCCTTGGTCTTGGGGGTGTGTATAGACCTGTGCTGGGGAAGGTGGGGCCTGTGTGATTCTCTGGGTGGCGAGAGTCGATCACAGAGGATTATGGGGAGGCCCCCCCGACCAGGCTGCCCCGGTATCCCCTCTCCAGAGCTGTGAGCAGAGCGGGCAGAGCCCCCGAGAGTCCCTGGGCCCCGGTGGTAAGGCAACTCACCAATCCCCTCCATGGCTTTGCAGAGGGTCTCCGAGTCGGGGTCTGGGTTGAAGTGGGGACTGCCCTTCACCGAGACACCCTCCTGTTCAATCTGCAAGAGAACCCAGGCCCGCTCAAAGCCGGAAGGCAGGGCAATTTGCAGCCGATCCCAGCAGGGTGAGCACCAGTTTGGCCCCTGCTGACCAGAGGCTGGGACTCTCCATCCATCCAGGCCCTGCCCACCCTCCCTGGGAGAGGGGTGCCTGGGAGGCCGAAGCTTCTGGATATGCTAGTTTACAGCAGGTGTCTTGAGGAAGGGGTATCTTTGTCCATGTTGCACTTAGTGGCCACGTGGCCCTTCTACAGAGGTCCCACGTGCCTATTAGCCCCTTGGCCAAGGGGAGGCCTGTCCTGCCAGTCCGGCCCTCACGCTGGAAGGAGGTGTCTCCTGATGAGCTGGTCAGCACCACCTAGCCACTCCAAGTGGTGGAACCCCAGCTCTCAGTGCCAGCGCCAGCCCCGGAGAGCTGAGGCTTACAGGCTCAGACAGCACGAGGGAAGACCTCAAAGGTGGCTGGTACCGGGGCCGCTTACAGAGCCGCCACGCTGACTGTGGGGCATCAGGAAGAAGGTGTAAGACTGGACGCCAGCCTTCAGTGTCGGGGGCCTCGTCTCCCTCCTGTGTCTCCCACGGCCAGCTGCCCCGTGAGGACCGCACACCCGGCAGTCCTGTGCCACGTCTCCTCCGTAGCGCTGGGTCCTTAGATCCTCAGCTGGACATTTGTTTTCTCCTTACTTGCATTTCCTGGATTTTTGTGATGAACATTGTCTTGAAAGAAAAAAATAAAAACCACACCCAAAATAGGGGGGATGGGGTGGGGAGGAGGGGCTGGGCCTGAGGGACGACCAGCTGGGACTTGCTGGGACACCAGAGAGGTTTCACTGTCCAATCTCCTAGGAGGCCTGTGAGGCTAGATGGCCTGGAGACGGCCACCCAGAGGCATCAGCTGTGTAGGGAACCTATTCCATACATGAGGGGACCCTCACCCACCCAGAGACCGTGCCTGCCCAGCCTGCCTGGGAGGGATCGCTGGTTCCCCACACGGCTCTGTGGGACTGCCTTGTCTCCTCTGCAGAATGGCTCCTTGGTTAACAGGCTGGCATCAGCCAGAGCCACAGAACCTTCCCCATCCCTGCCCCTGCCCTGGGGCGTGGGCTCTGAATCAGGCTGGGTCTCTCCCAGCTGGTGCCATCTGAGCAGGCCCGGCCACCCTCAGCTCCCTCCAGCACCATCAGCCAGCAGCAGGAAGGGACAACCCTTTCCAAAGCTATAAGGACACTGATCAAGAAAGGAAAGGCTTCATGGAGCAGAACACGCTGCCTGGGGAGCGTGCAGACGAGGTTGGGAAGCCAGGTATGGTTTGAGCTCACTCTGCCCTCTTCCTGAGAAGTGGGTATTTACCAGAAGGCAGAGAGCCAGGGCACCCAGCCGAACATCCTGCTAGCTCAGGGCTTTTGCAAGGCTACAGGCTCTTGGAGGCAGAGGATTAGGTTTAGGGAAAAAAAAAGTTTGGTGCTTTGAAAATTGTGAATTAACTAGGTAAACAAAGTACCCCTGCCCTTGACTTCCAAATCTCTACTCCAGATCTTGCCTGAGGGCTCTTGAGACTTGGGCCCTGCAGAATTTCTTAGGTGCAAATGAATGATCCCTCTTAAGTATGCAATTTGGGAGAGGGGTGGTAGAGGAGGGAGGTTGGAGATGGGAATTGAGTTTGAGGGAGACTCGGAGATCCTTCCAACGGAAGGGAGTTTAGTCCCATTGCATTTGGTCTCCCACTCACCTGTTCATCCACTCCTTCTGTCTGCCCCACATCCACTCATTTTCTCTTCCACCTATCCTCCCACCGAGTCATTCATCCATCTGTTCACCCCTTCTCCACCCAGACATCCCACCACCACATCCATCCACCCCTCCATCTATCCATCCAACCACCCAACCACCCATCCATTCAGTCACCACGTCCATCCTTCCTCTTTTTCTTTTTTCCTTCCTTCCTTTCTTCCTTCCTCCTTCCTTCCAGGCCCTGGTTAGATCCTGAAAATACAGCGCAGCCTCCTATCCATGGTTTATCTGTAAGGATATTTCTTTTGAGTAAAAGGTAAGAAGTCTTTCCATAGTTTTCGCTCAAATTTCAAATATCTGGTGACAGATCTTCCTACTTTATTTCTTAGCACCATGTTTCACAGAAGAAAATTTCAGAAGTAATTCCTTGTGGAAATTTCATCCAGAGAGCCTGTGTGGTCCCAGATGTGGCCCAGCTGTGTGCTGGCATACACTGCCTCCCTTGTATGTAGCACCTGAGGGAATGCAGGTCATCGGGGAGAGTGGGGTCATCTGAGACCTCAGTGCTGAGCTCTTGGGGCCCCCCAGGAGGGGCTCCCCCTCTGCTCTTTTCCCCAGGCTGGCATTCTGGGGCCCTGCAGCAGTGGCTGACCACGCTGTGTGTCCCAATCACCATGGAGCGGGCCACTCAGCGGGTCTGAGGCTGGGCTCAGGTGGCCGTGTCTGTAATAGGTCCCCAGGGGCTGTGATCTCACCACATGGAGAAGCCTCGAACTCCCTTCCTGTGATGTGGCTTTAGGGGGAAACAAGACAGTTTCCTGGCAGTTAGACCCCAGGATGTCAGCATGGTGTGCTGGGGCTCCAGGTTTTTGATCTAAGACCCCCATGCTGGAAGGAGGACCTGCCTAGGCCTCTGCTGGGCCATGCGGGGTGGGCTAGTCCAGACAGGAACATTTTCTCTGGAAAGGTGACTCAGCCAGTCAGTGACTCTACATCCATAACGTGTCTGTGACACTCTCAGGGGAGCTGCCACGCCTCGGCCCTCCCTCGTCACGGGGCTGCCCAGGAGAACCTGGGAAACGGAGCTTGGTCTCCACAAGGAGGCGCAGACAGGGCCCCGTCCTGCAGGCAGGCGTCCTCGAGCTGACCTTTCAGCCCTCTCAGGTCCTGGTACCAGGTTGGTCAGGGCCTCAAAGGTCCTTTGTCCTTCCCTGGTACCTCAGCCAGTCCCAGGGGGGTCTGCCTGGAATCTTGCTGCTCATGGGTCGTGGGTGCTGAGGCCCATGGGGTCTGGACTCTGGCATCAGGCCACTCAGATTCTAACCCAGGTGCTAATGCTCACTAGTGTGACAGCCTCGGGCACCGTCTCAGCCTCCTTGTACCTCTGTTTCCTCATCTGTGGGTAAGGATATTAGTATCTATAATGCAGAGGTGGCCCAAGGCTCAGATGAGATATTGCATGTGAGGGGCATAGGGGGATGTGCAGCACACAGTGGCTGCTTAGTGAGTTTCATCCTTATCCTGCCACGTTGGCTGGGTCCCTACAAGGAGGCTCCTG